GAAGGCCGCTGCCTCCTCTTCGATGATTCTTTCCTGCACACGGCGTTCCACGAAGGTGAGTGTCTGCTTCCCCATTCACGTGTCCACTGGACTCAGGACCTCACAGAGCCATGCTAGCTAACGTCTGGGATCAGAAAGAAGGTGATCTTGCAGTCAGGGTGGAGGAACAGGCCCAGCTCCCGCCCTGAAGCTAACCTGTGGGATTCTGGGCTCTGGGGCAGTTTGAATCTCTCTTCTCTTGCTCATCACAGGCTCAGCGGAGGATGGTCCCCGGGTGGTTTTCATGGTGGATTTGTGGCACCCAAACGTCGCAGCAGCCGAACGGCAGGCCCTTGACTTCATCTTTGCTCCAGGACGATGAGAACATGTCCCGTGCTGGAGTCAGTGAGGGGCTGAGGCCCAGCCTGGGCAGGCAGTGGTCCAGTCCAGGCCCCGCCCAGGTTCAGAAATTTGCCTCCACAGAAAGCTCTTACTTGGCATTTTATACCATGTCGGATCCCTCTTTTTCTGGTTATTGTACATGGAAATTTTTCAGCTTGTATTTCCTTAGATTTTTTTTTTTTTCTTCCTTCCCATCATTTGCTTCCAGGGTTTCTTTCTGGCATAACTGGGCAATCCTCTGACTTTGTGACTAGAGTAGTCTGTGTTCTGTTGCTATCTTGTTTCTCCAGGCTCTGAAATAGAGTCATCAAACAGTTATTTGTCTGAATGTAATAATGTAAAATTTCTTGTGGTCATCTTAAAAAACAAAACAGAAAACTACAGACCAGAGAGCTGGAGAACCTGGCCTCTGCTGCTGTCTCAGGCACACAGGGGACCCTCCAGCTGCTGCTGGCAGGGACAAGTCTGCAGTCCCAGCCCTCGGCTGGCTTCATTAGTAGGGTGGAGAGCTGCCAAACACAGGCAGAGGCGGCACACAGCTTCAGGGCCTGGTGAGACAGTCACCATCCTCACCTCACCCCAGACCCTGGCAGGCCCATGACAGCAAAGAGCGTCTCAGCTGGTGGGACTGGAGGCTATGTCACTTTCCTACAAAGCTGAGGCTGGCATCACTGAGAGCCAGGGGGGCTCCCACGGGCCAGCCACAGAATGGGTGATTTCACTTACCTCACTGCCTACAGAAGCCCTACTGCCAAACCAGCTCAGAAACTTCCTAGGTGTAGCTGTTTTGAGTCAATGGGGATGAACTTTTAAGGCCACCAGGATGGCTGATAGGCGCTGTGGTGGGATAAGACATCACTCATCCAATGAAACTCTGGGAAGGCCTTTTCTCTGGCAAAACTGGAATCTTAGATCTGACCAAAGTATCTGTTTTGCTTTGGAATTTTATTTCCTTTGATTTTCCATTTACTTGTCCACATACGAATGTCTGAATGCTGGACTCAGAGAGGTGGATGCGTTGGCCCTGTGTCTTCGCCATTGCATAGGGGGTGTGCTGAGTGACTGTAACTTAACACTGTGTGTTAGGGAGGACACTGGAAAGACCTCCAAGTCCGAAGGGCCAAGGTTGCGACAAACTACGGTCACTTTGCTGGCGTTTTGGTCTGCGGTGAAGGATGTGCAGCTTTCTCCCAAAGGAAAAGGCCCAAAGAGGCCAGTTTGCCAGCCTCCTGTTAGCCCATGTGTGAAAGCCCTAGAGTACCATGTGTGAAAGAAAACCACTAGAGATGCCTTTTTTGAATAATGTGCTATGGTCAGTGTCATAGTTACAAAGCCAAGGGCGGCATGTAATAGACAGCTTATCACACAGACATGTCCAGTGTTTGTATCTGACTAGAAACCAGCAGCTTCTCTGAGGAACTGTGAAGTAGACACAATGTGAAATGGACCGTAGTTACTAGCAAGTGTACAAAATAAAACAAAAGTCTAAATTTGAGTAAAATTTATACAGATATTTTTCAGTGATGAGACTGCAGGAAAAGGCAGAAATTTCCAACATACCTGAAGTCTTTCTACTCATCAGTATCTTGTTAAAGAATCACTGAGGTGCATGATTTCTACACAGTGACTTTTCCGCGTTTACAAACCAACAACCCACATAGGTATCTGGCTACCTGTACTGATGTGACCTGGTTGGAGAACAGAAGATAAATAAAGGATCTTGCTGAAAACCAGAGTGGACTGTCTGGTGAATACATAGTCTGTTGGAAAGAAAATGGGTCTTGGTGGGAAGCCCCGAGAGGGGTTCTGGTGTGTGTTTGAGGCTGTTGTTTGGATTGTGTCACAGAGATGAGCAGGACATTAAAAGTGATTGTGTCTAGTGAATGAAGCAAAATGGACTCTGAAAATAATGGGATGGGTGGGGGAAATGAGAGCAGACCATGGACTGCTAAGGAACTATCGATGTCTAACTGGGCCAAGCATGAGGACTTTGGCTGCAGGACAGCTGAGGATTTGGGACTCGGGCCAGGAGTTTGTTTTCAAGTGACCTTGGATAAGTCCCTAGGCCTCTGGGAGCCTCTGTTTGCTCCTCTGTAGAGATGTCCGTGTGAAATGCCTAGCACAGTGCCTGACATCTATAGGGCACTCAACAATGGTGGTTCCCTTTCTGCCATGGCAGTGGGTCCAAGCAGTTATAGAGAGCAGCTGGAGATAAGGAGAAGGATTAGATCAGT